GTAGTGGTAGTGGTAGTGGTAGTGGTAGTGGTAGTGGTAGTGGTAGTAATTTTTTCTTTCACGGGTTTGATAACATCACTCTAGTAGTATAGTTATAGTGGTAGTATCTAGGAGTTGTTGTTTTTGTCTTCGTCGTCATATGCGTGGTTAATACCATTTTTTCACATCATGAACTTTGGACTAGCAAATAATTGAAACAATAATCTGGGCATTGTCAAAGGAAGTACAAACCACACGCTTGGTAGAGTAGTTCTTATATGTCATTACTTACTTAGCGGGTGCATGATGATCATTATGAGTTGCGCACAGATGTTCCTGTCACATTAAAGGTGACAGCTGGTAAACACATAAAACGGCCGGCCAGTCAAGTACGTTTTTTGTTTCTTTGACGAATATGTGAAGCGAAGAATCCAGCAAAAAAAGTGGACATTGATTTTGCCTGTTTTCCTTCAGCTTCCTGTCTTCATTTTTGTTTATCTTTTCTTCTTTTGTTTTGTGTATATATACATATATATATTTTACGCACTTACGAAAAAATTAAGACTCATTATTATATATAGCAAGGTAATTTCATGCGCTTTAGTTGGTCAATTTATTGGGGTCCATAACTTACGGTACGGACCAAAAAATGAAATGGTTCACTGAGTGTACTGACTATGAATGATCTTTTAAAACATTAAAATCTTCGCTATAAAAAATATTTATGGATAAAAATAACTGAAACCGAAAAAACTTAATAAATTATTAAAGATACTGGCTGAAAGCACTGGCATTTAATGTAAAACTTATCACACAAGCGACAACTCTTTCGATCAAGGCTCTATACGGCACTAGTTGAGCGATTTTGTACGACTAGAAAAACTAAAAAAACTAACTATGCTAAAACTAAACTAATACTAGGTCAAACTACGAACTAGAGGGTAGTGAATAGCGGCTAATTCAGTAAATGAAATAAAGATAGTTTTACAAGAAGAATTTACGTAAATTTGTTATTTCAGTAAGCTTACAACGTCAAGTTTGAATTTATATTAATCGATCGTGTGAAGAAGCCAGTAGTTTCTTTCGTTAACGTTTTAAGCAGTTTTCTAGGCTCATCCGCTCTTGAAGTATATTTCCGTATTTCGGTAATACTTCATCTACACTTGACGAATTTGAATGCATTTGTGAACAGCAGAGTTGGCAGTATCTTTTTTAATTGAGTCGAAAGTGTGCCGTCTTTATGACTTCAGCCATTGTGCATATGGCGGCCTGCTTCAAACAGTCAAAACGTTGAAAATTGTCGAAAACTATCCATGTTCAGCGAGCTGTAATTTTCCAAAGCTTCTCATTAATTTCTGGAGAGATTTTGAGTTTTTTCACAATAAAAGGCAGGAAAACATATGAAAGGCTGTAGTATTTTTCATCTTGGTTGTGAATATCTTGAAATGTAAAGGAAGTTTGAAGTACAACAGTTTCTTCTCATGATCAACTCATGTTGAGTTCTTGAGATCTTCTTTTGTTGCCTTTTTTGCTTTCCATTTACATGTTTTGCAAAAGAAAGCCTCACTTTTGTTTATTAGTATTTCAGAAAACTAACCTATAGCTAAATTCATTCAAAGTAAACTAAAACTTCTCTTAGTCTGAGTGACTCAAACACTACATGGACTTGTGGCACGTACAAGAAGCCCTTCCAACGAGTTCTCGTTTGACATGCACTGTGAACTTTACTTTTTGTTGCTTCGCCTAACTTTAATCTCAATGCCTTGCCATATAATAAACATTTTATTAACYTCGTTTGCTCGGTCCGTACCGTAAGTTATGGATCCTCGGTTTTTTCCACTTCTTTATGTTAATAAGAGCTATATATCTCTGAAAGAGCCAGAGACAGGGAAAATACCTAATAAACAAAACAATTCTTGGAACTCTAAGTAAAAAACGAAGAGCTGTCTTAAATCTAACATTCGAGATTTTGAAGGCTCCCAAACATTATCGTATTTAGAGAGTTCAATACAACATAGGTACCAGGTTTACTAATAAATTCCTCRTGCAAATGGCATATTTTTACTGAGATATTAATTTTCTCATTTTCCGCAAAAACATCTACTTTTTTTCAGTCAGCTTCGTCCTTGAAACTCTAGCCTTAAGCAAATGGCTAATGTTTATCAATATTGCATTAAAAAGTGCGCAAAATGTTCTTAATTCGGCCTGTCAAGATCGAGACAAGACTCCCACTTATCCCATGACAATTTTTTTAAAGCTTTCTAGACAGAACAGATAAAGTTACGTTTAATCAAAATAGGGATGTAATTCTAATTCACAGTTTAGATGCAAAGTTTGCAATAAATGAGGGTTTGTTAATGGACTTTAAACTTTACGATGAAAACAAGACGAAGGGATTTTGTTAAATAATAAACTCAATAAAAATCACTTCCTGATTAGCTGAAATGACATGAGCGTCATAGAGAACAGCCAACATTTTAAAAATAAAAAACAGTCACACACACCCTCTGATTAGCTGAAATGAGAGTCTATATTAGAGAACAGTCCTAGACTCTGTGATTGGCTGAAATGAGTGTCTATATTAGAGAACAGTCCTAGACTCTCTGTGATTGGCTGAAATGAGTGTCTATATTAGGAAATGGCGTGCGTGTAATACCATAGACGCACGGTAGGATCGAATCGCTAGAATATTCTTTGAAAGTAACAGAACCAGAGCGAAATAAATTCACAGCATATATGCATTAGATTTTAAAAAGCCATCTACAATGACAGTATGGTTAAAATATTGACTCTTCGGCATAAACATCCTGAAAGCTTTTATGGGGCAATAATATCGTAAATAATATGCAGTGAAAACGCCCACACTAAGGCGTCCAGAATCGTTGTCAAACGAGATCCATTGGGGGACCCAAATCCCTTAATGGCGTTTGGATTGTTGAAAAGAATCCAGTTTGATTAATCCTAATTTTTATACATCGGTTCATTGGTCAAACAAAATATTATATCGGCAATGCAAGATTGAGCTTTGAATAATAAATTGAACTACCATTTTCTCAATGGGCAAATCCCCCCTTTTTGACTAAAATCTCATTTGGACAGGTTTAGCCTTGTTTGAGAGCAAATCATTTGCAAAAAGTCAACTTAAATGTAAAGGATATGCAAGTTAAATAATACCAATGTTTTGAAACTCCACGAACTTTTAATGGTATCTGTGAATAACTGACTTATAAACGAGGCTTAACCTGTGCAAATGAGTCTGTGATATTTAAAAACAGAGGTATGTATCGTGTATTCCCGGGACCGTTGGAACACAACCACCTAGGACGTCCCCTTCCCCACAGCCATCCCCCATCCCCCCACCCCCCTCTCCATCCTCCTTCCCAAACCATTTTGGGCCGCTACGCAGCTTACAGCCACCAATGCAACAATTTCCAAAAATGTCTGTTATTGCTTGGAGCAATTTTGTTAAATATAGTAATAATAAAATGATCGACCCACCTTTTGTTAACCCATGTACAAATCAATCGTAGTTCAATTGCTTGGCATCAATTAGCTGAATGAATTTTCATAAATCTCACTACCAGTCTTCAGTAAAGAGAAACACTATTTCTTCTATTGATAGGAACCTATAGCGGAAATTAAAAAAACATGATAAGGGGCATATAAGAGAAAGCTTGCTGGATCCTCAATTCGAGGTTTTCTTTCAGCGATTTTACTCTGGAACAGGGTCAGACT